CTCCTTATCCTTGGATTCTTTCCTCAGATTCTGTTTTTCTCTCTCGGCATAAGCAACAGATATCTTCTTGAACCCCTTTTCCCTCCGTTTCCAGTGTTTCATCTCTGTCGATGTCGAGCCCCTTCCATTCGTCCTTTACAAGCTTGACTCATTCCGTAGGTTGTCTACTCCTCTTTTTGTTTGCCCACTTCGCCTCCCATACAATTCTCGGCAACCTCTCCTCTCCCATCCCGCACATGCGATACTGCCAGGTCAGCTTCCTCGCGTCTCTTCCCGACCGTAGGGATTGGATCCCCAATTCTGCCCTCACGGCTGCATTACTTGTGCGCCTGGAGCATCCTAGGATGATTTTCGCTGCTTTCATCTGCGCCGCCTCGAGTTCTTTCACTACCTTCTTATTTCCTTCCCATACTTCTCCGGCGTACTCTAGCGGCGGTACGATTACGCTCTTCAAAACCGTCAATTTGATGCGTGTATCGAGGTGCCGGTTTGCGAGTATTGGGTGCAGCTTCCCTGCTCGTGCTTTGCCCTTTTCCGCTACCTTGGACATGTGTGCATTCCACGAGCAGTCTTTCGCGATCCCTACTCCGAGGTATGTGCACTGGTCCACTACTGCAATCTCCTCGATCCCCCACTTCCATCTATGTTCTACTGGTTCCTCCTTGTTCTCGTTGCATACCATGACGGCACTCTTCTGAACGTTGGCAGACAATCTCCACTTATCAGTAAACTTCTTCGCCGCGTCAATTTGCAGTTGCAGTCCCTCAGGGGTGTCCGACATACCGACAAAATCATCCGCAAACAGCATTCCTGAAACCGACGTTTCCGTGTCCCCTACTTTTACTCCCTTCCGGACTGCCTCTACGACTTCCAACAGATCGTTGATGAACACCTGGAACAATGTTGGGGACAGCGTGCAACCTTGTGGGACCCCCTGCTCAATGTCGAAGAATTTTGACAGTTCTCCGTCTAGCATGACCGCGCTTTTCGTGCACTCTGTCATCTTCTTCAGCACTCTCCACATTTTCCCCTTGATCCCGTATTTGGACAGTTGTTTCCACAACCCATTTCTCCATACGGTGTCGTATGCCTTTTTCACGTCCAGGAAGAAGCAGTACGTCGGCTTTCCCGCCCTCTTTCTACCTTGGATGATTCTCCCTACCGTGAACACGTGGTCGCACCCCCTCTTCTTTCGCAAACATGCCTGGCCCTCGCTAATGCTAGTATGTTCCTTCTCCAATACTCCCACTATCCTATCGTTCAGCAGCTTACAGAACACTTTTCCTACTGTGTTCAACAGTGTGATCCCCCTGTAGTTTCCTGGGTCAGTCTTGTCTCCTTTCTTAAACAAGTTCACAACCACTCCTTCCCTCCATCTACTTGGCGTATACTCGTTTTTCCACACCCAATTGTATAGCAGTACCATCAGCTGGATCATCCCTGTTAGAAAGTTTTACCCCATTAGATTAGGCAGTCAGCGCTGACTAGTCTAGTCTAATAATGGTGTGACGGTATTTTTACAAAAGATCTACGTTCAGCTCATTAGCACCCGGCAGGATCACTTGAGTCTATGGCATATTTGAGAACAGGGATCTCCGGGGACGGACCCCTCGCTAGACGCTGCCTGAAAAGAACTTAATGGTGCTTGGGAAAGTGACCAGTCGGGTTTTTGAACCGGTGCGTGGTACTTGTACCTACCGCCAATCGTTTCACCATTAGTCTAGTTAAGTCAGTGCTGACTAGACAAATGGCTTAACATTTGGCGACAAAGGATACACGGACGGGATCGAATCCCAGATGGTCACTTTCACAAGCAGCCGTAGTTCTTCTCCTGCAGCGCCTGGCGAGGGGTCCGTCCCAGGAGATCTCTACTTCTAAATTCCCAGTGAACAGCCGGCCGGGTGGCTACGAGCCGAGAGTGTATCCTTTAGAGTAAACCGGCCAATTAACGAACGCTTAAGCCACCCCTCGCGCCAACAGCTCGTTCTCGGGCATGAAGAGGAGTATGATGTATTTGTGGGTACCGGACGATAGCTTGTATTATAGGCTACCTCCCTAAAAAAAAAAAAAAAATCGTTCGTGTCAACGAGATAGAGCTGATGCAGTGCATTCCATTGTTTAGCTGAAAATGCAGGAAAACACCCCCCCCCCCCAATTAACGAACACTTTAGCTTTGTAGCTGCTTTCGTGCGTTCTGAAGCGTTTCATGATCTGATTATTTGTGGAGTTACGTCTGTCGCAACATATATCCGTTTAGGAAAAAAAAAAATGGAATCGATCCACGCCCGGGGACAAAATCCTCACATCCCCGGGTTTTCCGCCTGAAATCGGGGACGGATTTTACCCCATTTTTGACCGTACGGCGGTGCTGCACACATGAAAAGAGCCAAAACTAAGAGATTATTGCACAGTGGGTCTAATCTGATCATATACAGACTCAAGAAAAAAAAATTAGGACGAAAAACTTCGCGCATGTGATGTAATGCC